CTTCAACACTCTACACACACGCAGCTTTTTAACTATTCAACACGCTGCTGCGAGCCGCAAATGAATAACACAGAGACGAGTACAAATGCACTCAAACTATGACTAGCAAACGGCACACAAACCTGAACACAACCACATGAATTGATAGCGAACGAAAGCAGACAGCGACCAAATATAGCATAAAGGAAATGAATGCCCCCAAAAGATGCAACAAAAATAAGCATTAGCAAGCGAAGAACTGTAACAAAACAATTGAATTAAACAACAACACGACTCTCAATGAATGTAAGATACATATTTCGTAAGACAGAGTAAATTCCAAACACCGTATAAGACTACAATTGTCTTGTGAATCAAAACATAACCACTTTTGCGAAAAGGTCAAGCATTACACCAACTCTATGTTTTGTCAAAAGGTACACTAACAAAGTCGCTGTCAAAATGCCACGACCGAAGCGCAAAGGGAAGACATGATTCGGTAACACACTTATCTGATCTAACAATGGGTCAACACATAAAAGCAGGAGGGTACAAGCCCGACTATGGCAGGATGCCCAATCGTCTGTTCCCGCGACCAGTTATAATCGTTCGATCGAAGAATTCGATCACCTCATTCAAGCCGTCGCGAACCTATATTTGTAATGGTTCCATATGTTACAAATAAGTTTTACGATACCGCGAAATGAAATATCTCAGCAACGATTGCCTAATCGACAAAACGCAACGGAAGCACGACTAATGCAGCTCGAGCAGACGGGAGCCACCATACTGGGCGCACTATTAGCCCTCTACGACGAGCGCCAGAATAATGGGCACCAGGAGCCATTTCTGAATAATTATTGACACGAACAAAAGGTAACCGGTGATGGGATAGTCACCTGAAATTAAACCACTATCCGTTTACCGCTGAATCAGGCGGAATAATGGCAAATGAATGAAGTTGATGACGAACAAATAAGAAAAGGGAACATACCAAAAACATCATATAGCAAAAAATGTTATCACATAGAGTATACATACTTAACGCAACAGATACTGAGTCACTCCTGCACTGGTAACCTACATAAGTAGCATCCTACGTACGACAGCTTCTCAACTACTTTCTGCGAATGGCTCCTCGCTCCTATGCGTTTGCCAGAAAGCGCTGGGTAGAAGAGGCGCTTGACGACTCAGGATGCACCTATCATACATTAGGTCATTTATAGGCTTTCAAAGAAGATCATCTGATCGAAACGTTGAGACGATTAAAGTTAGCACCTAACAACTTCTATTGCACAAAGGGCATATAAAGATACAACGCATACAATACCAATGCCAAGGTATCAACGAAAGAGAGAAATTGGACATCCAAGATTGATTAAAAGGGAGGCCCTACAAGAGTTATTTGAGAAAGTCTAATTGAGAGAAAATCGAGTTTAACGACATCATCAAAAAAAAGAGTAATGGAGCTAGCCCACTCCACGCGAAATATACACCATCCACATATAGCACACAAACACATGCCACACTAAACAACACTACCGGAACTATCACGACAGATTAATGGAACTATCACGACAAATTAATAACGGAACAAAAGCATAAATAGATTAAACAAAGTTCTAAACCTTGCGTCCTATAGCCTGACTCATATTACACCCAGTCCCGTAACGTAATAAAAATATGACACCTCAAGAAAATAAATGTGTAAATAACTAATAAACATTTAACATTCGGACAAAATCTCATAAAAAATAAATGGTCCGATTAGGTCCAAAAATTATGATCGTTGACGTGGAGAAAGCATTCCACATGATATACCTCCAAGAATCCGAAAGAGACTGTGCAGATTTCTCTGGCTTAAAAACGTCAATCGACCTCCAACTCAGGACAATGTACAACTTCTTACGATTTTGTCGTCTACCCTTCGGAATAAACGCTTCACCATTTCTTCTTGGAATATCCATTCAATATGGAATTGAACAGCAAAAACATCAAGATGACACCATTACCCAGCGACTTATTGAGAACCTATACGTGGACAACGTCCTTATGCTCGATTATTCAACAGAATCTCTTCTTGCCACCTATCACGCGTGCAAGAATATATTCTCCAAACATGTCAATGAATCTTCGCCAATTCATTACAAACGACGCAGATTGTAACAAATCAATAGATGAAAAGGATAAATCCACTTCACAAACAACCAAAATATTAGGCATTCCATGGAATCACTCGACTGATACACTTTCCATTTTGTGCAGACTCAACTACGAGGAAACCCAACTAAACGGAAAGTCTTACAATCAGCACACTATCTTTGACCCACTTGGTCGTCTGATACCTTTACTGCTGCCCGCCAAAATTTTCCTGCAAGATCGCTGGCAACACACAACGCAATTGGATAATAAACTACCAGAGACAAGCAATAAAACATGGGAACGGTATTTTGATCTTCTGAATACGACTGTCGCACCTACTTGCCGAGGGAAAGCCTGTAACTGCACTACGGGCACGATGTGCACTAACAGGCAAGTAGCGCTCGAGCTCATAGGAAATTGCTTGCAAACTCTTTGTGGGTGTAGCGTTGGGCAGCAATTGATATAACGGATTCAAAAAGGCTTTTTAGCCATGTTGAAAAAAAGCAAAATCAATGTCATGGCAAAGAACCGAACCCGCAACCACCGTTTGAGAAGCAGTACCGCTACCAACTGCGCTACCGAATGCTCATTTGTCGGTCGGTTCTTCTTTCGATACTTTTATAATGCAGCTAACATGTGATTGCAGGCAAACACTGAAAATCAAGGGCGGCAACAAAAACCCTCCGTAACTCCTTTCAGAGAAGAGTTCAGCAGATAATGAAAGCAGATTTGAGTTCAGCGTCTCATGTGCGTACAGAAATGCACCTCATTTCATTTGGCCGGGTTGGCCTAATGACCCTTCCTGGTAAGTCGTCAATGCTCGTGACGTCGTCGTCAACCATTCATATACTCGAACCGACTTCTTTGGCTATCATCTTAGTGTATAAGTCTCACTACTTTACCATTCTTTTTTTTTCTCGCTTTTTTTATTAATACAACGTACGTGACGACATTCTGGTGATTGGGGGCTGAGCTTATTCACCACGAAGCTGCTCCGGTGAGCTTGATGATTACGGAAGGCGAAGCCGACGAAACGGACGAAGGAGTTTTGGAGCTGCTGTAGGGACCATGGCCGCTCGTCTCGACCTGCCATCGCCACCCTCGGACCCGCACGCCCGCTGATACGTCTCCTGGCTCTTGCCAGTCTGTCTGACTCAAGAAGCAACCACCTATTCACTGGTTGTTATTATTACCAATAAATTGTGAGTAAAGAACCGTGTCTGGCTAGTCTCGCGGTATCGTCACTCGTTACTGGTAGCAGCGAAGCGGCTCACTATACGATGATCAAATCAGTTATTTCACCATTACAGTTTTCTATTTCTCTTTGCTCCATTCCTGTTGGTGTCCTTTATTGTTTTTCCCTTATCTTCACTTTCTTCATTCTTGAACTTTTTCACCCTTACAGACTCTCTTGGACACAGCCTCAGGCCCCGGTAGTGCCCGCTGAAAATCCACTTTACTTTTGCTTTTGGCAATTTTTTAGACTTACGAAAGCAGGAACGGATGCGGAATCCTTCTAAGCACTTCTGCAGTTCCAAATCAGCCACTTTCCTTTTGGTAGCTCGATTATCTCCCTGGTTTCTTTTTACTGTTCTGATGCGGTTTCGTCCTTGAAGCGAGGGATTACGATAAGATTGGACTGGGTTCATAGGTGGAGATGCTGAATAATGCCCCAGTGGCGAAAAAAGCAAAGAAATCCGTCAAGAACGCGCAAAATGGGACCCCTTTCTTTGCCCGTTGACCTCCGATAATGGACGAGCTAGCAACCAATTAGAGGTCGTTTGCACATGTTAAACCGATAGCCTCTATCATTCAGCAAAGATCATGCTTTGATTGATCACGCATTCCATGGAAAAGTTATAGGATACACACTCGAAGTGGAATACCTCATCCAAATGATAGGTGGAACGATGTTGCTAGTCACACTAATGGGCGGAGCACAGGCGGCGGAGGCGGAGCTCAGGGAGGATTGGCAGCCCCAGGGCGCTGAACTAGAGCGCCTTTGCCACTAAAAAACCACAATCTCACTTCCTTAGGCCCTTTACTACTGCTCCCACTGGTGCGTCTACTTCCATGCCTACACATGCACTCTATCGTATTCTCTCGCCATCAGGTCGCTCATTGAACAACCGTCTAACCCTCATTTTTTCAACCTTTTAGTCAGCTCTTTGACACACGATTATTGCCGGGCTCCGACAACGTCTGTCTCATTTCATTTTTACAGTTCAAAGTTTCTGTAAGACTAGTTATATTCATTCGACGAAGGTTTACAGGAGAAGGTAATGAAATCATCACTTGAGGATTATATCCCTGTACGCAGGGTAAATCCCCAGTTAAGGAGAAAGTGTTTCTGGATTGTCACACGATGCTGGTGCACAAGAAATGAGATGCATTTTCATAGGCTTTGAGCAATTCGCGCCTTCTGTACGTTGTCGTTTTGACTACCCTTAGTCCTTTCTTTCGCTTCTCACTTTTCTTTACAATGACCACATGCTGGGTCATCACAGTCAATCCCGAGTCAGTGTCACTGGATCTCGACTCCGCGTCGGTGGATACCCGGCCTCGGTTTAGGGACAGCGTGGGTGGAGTAACTTGCGCATTGTTAGAGCCTAGCTTGCGCAGCGGATTCCGTTACTTGTGTGCGCGGATATCCGTACTGTGGGATAAAGCTCCATGGCATCTGCTATGTTGTACGTTCTTTTAGCTTTTTTAATTCAACTTCTCAAAACATAACTAACTGACCTATCATTTTATCGTCAGCAGGGAAAATCGACTTTTGCTTTCTCATAACATTGAGCTTCTCACAGCATTTTTACCATCTTGTTGCGCCCCCTAAGGCAATTTTTATAGAACGTTCCTCCTCAGTCTGGCATAGGCCACCCTGCCCGTTACCCGTAGTCTAGCAAAATCCTCCTCACCTCCACTCTTGGACTCTGCCCAGCTGACCTATTGACCTCCGTCTTACACAAGCCACCCATAAAAGGGGGGCTTCCTTGGCTACGGCGTTCTCCATCATCGATGATTCACAGGATGACTTTATTCTTCGGTGACGTGAGGCTAAATGCTCCATGAAGGAACGTCTTCGACTATCTCGTGCTCCACTGCCGCCCTTCTTTCTCGTGAGATCAATGAGGAAAACACTGCTCTCAGATAGACGCTAAAGGAGTCCTTCGTAGCGGTTGGTAAACGATTGGACGACTTACCCACAGTCGCAATGTTTCATCCGAAGTCCCAGGCATCCCGTGTGACGCCCTTCTCAGGTGCAACCAAAAAAGGTGTACAAGTTCCCATATAGCTCCGTCGTCCTAAATACCTTATGCGTGTGCGGCCCACTTCTCTCTCGGACGAGCAGCGAGCGAATTATTGCTCACCTCGACTGCGTGGTTTGGGAGAAGCTCGAATAGCTAGATGAAGCCGTAAGCGCTCTTTTCCGCTGTTGTTGCTCACTCGGTCGTTTTCTTGAGAGCCCACAACAACGATACATCGCGCGTCAGAAGCTCTTGTCGCTAGGAACTGGGAGAATCATGCACGGCGTTTGCCAACCGTATCCTCACTCTCGTTCGCGCAGCAATCTCGGGCCAAGACCAAGTCACCCAGCAGGAGAGGGTGCTTGAAGAACCTTTTGCCCCTTTACGAGATGACATTCGCTACTTCGTTAAGCTCAATAGTCCCATATCGTTTGATCAGGCCGTAACCAAAGTGTAGACGGTAGAACAGCTTCGTTTCGAAGCTACGGCCAAAAGTCTTCTGCATCCGACCACTCCTCCCGCACCATCTCTCCATCTCACTGAGCGCTCGTCGAGCCTTGTCAATCCCGCGCGCGTCAGTGGCGCACCAGTCCACAGGTTCCGTTCCGAGCCCTGGAATCGCCCCTAGCATCTCGACCGAGAGGACTCTCGACCCTGCGACGACTCATACACCAAAGCAGGGTCAACCCTATCGTTGTTACTTTTCGAAAAATTTTTACGACCCCCCTCCCCCAAGGTGGATTTGGTACGACCCCCCTTTCGACCCTCGACCACCATATTCCTCTCTATAGTATTTAATTCTGGTACCACTCAACCCACCAAACTCCGCCCACTTTTTCCTCCAAAAATGCCGTCGAGCGGGGGGGTATATACGCCGGCTGAAACGGCAAATTTTTATCTTGCGCGCCCTCCACTCGCACAACCTACTACCCACGAAATCTTAGTTTCTCCTCAATCCCACACGTGATTTCGAGCGACTAAAGTGGGTACGACCCCCCTCCTACAAACTCAACCAGGTACGACCCCCCCGTTGTTACTCGTAACAACGTAGGGTTGACCCTGCTCTCGACCTTTCGAACGACTCAACCACTGATTTTCGTTGTTTCAATTTTACGGTAGGGGAAATTTTGCCAGCGCTTACCCCTTCCCGCGTCGTTATTGAGCTCCTACTCAGTTAAGATGTTCACCCCTCGTAACCATTCTTCAAGCTGAGGCACTAAACAAGCTTCCCAACGTGCTCGTCTACAATGGTAGGCTGTTCAACGGCATCCAACTCCACTAGCGTTCTCTTCTCACCGATAAGCTACAGCTACCCAATCCCTCCATCCTGTTTGTGTTCTTCGATGTCGAAGAACGTCGAGGATGTCACATGGCCAATCCCACTCGAGCAGGGAGAAGGCCGCGTGCTGCGTCGAACTAGTCCGTTTTCTCTTTCACAAGCATATCCCACCAGCTTCGATTGGCATGATCACTTTTTACAAAGACCAGCTCCGCCTCTTGGGAAACGACGCTGACCGCTTAGGATTCCAACTCTACACCGTGGACTCAGTCCAGGGTCGAGAGATCGATGTAATCGAGATGAGATGAGATCCAATATCCATACTGTAACAGGCGAATTTTGGGACGATTCAAAGAAGGAACGTGGTTGTCACTAGGTGTCGTCACGGTCAGTTTATTTTAGGTCGACTTGCAGCTCTACGACGTCTGCATAACTGAGATCGCCTTCTCAGTGGGCAACTGCTCATGACGGCGCCGCCAACCGTTCTGGTATACTAT